TATATATATATCCATTTGTGTATGTGTGACTAAGTTTGACAATGTCTTTTTATAGCTATTAACGAAGCAATCTCCCGGCACTTTACAATGAATAGTGTGGACAGCAGAAGAGACAGGAAGGGAATAATGAACCCTCAAATAGCATGGTAACTGGGGAGAGGGACATTACTGTTAAAATGATTTGAGTAAATGTCAGGTAAGAATTCAGGGTTATGACCAATGACTGCAAACATTTACCCTTAGGCGTTGTTGTCCTTCAATTAGGAGTGTGGCCCGTGATCATAAATCCTGGGCATATCTGCCTTTCTGAGAACTGGCTGGTGCCAGCAAATCAGGCCGGGGCACCTCCGTGACCTGGTCCTTGGGGAGAAGACACCAGATGCCACTTCCTGTTATTCTGCAGCAAGTGTGCTTTTACCTCGCAGGTGACTCGGACCCTGAGTAAACCCACGGCTACACAGGCATGGGAACACGCCAGGGATTCATGAGGCAGCTGCTATGTGCGCTTTCTGACTTAGCCAGCAGCGCCATCATGAGCGACATCCACGCCCTACCAGATGCTGCCACTGCAATGAAGCAGAGATGCTTGGCCTCTCCAGGAGGGACAGTGACTTCTCAGCCTTTTCAACATCTGCCCTTAGGAAATGTTCTCATCTGTTTCCTTCAGTCACTCTCTGACCACGTTCTCAAATCTCAGAACTGACTCATAACTGACCCTCCAGTGGGCTTCCAGTGCTTAAAACTGCTTAAGAGGAGAATTTTCATCTTTCTCCCCTGGAATCAGCTGCAGATAGTTTCTCACTGCCTAGAGAGACATGGCCTTTGAGTGAACAGCTCAACTCCCAATAGAAGAGGCCGCCAGTACTCTCTTCTGACCATGCAGTTTAATTCAATGAGCATCTGAGGACTCAGCAGGCCCAGGCCACTGTGGTAACTGGAAGGCTCATCTAATCCCATTGTTTTGAACACATACATGTGTTAGTTTCCTGGATGTGTATCCACTAGAATGTGATCATGAGACTGTCCCTTTTCTCCCTTCCTGGTCCCCAGTGCCAGGAATAGTGCCTGGCATCACACAGACAATCAACACTTGCTAAATGACTCAATTAAGGGTGGTCTAGTGATAAGAAGCGGCACAAGAATCCTGAAGGCTTGTTGTTGTTATGTGCCGTCGAGTCACTTGCGACTCATAGCGACCCTATATACAACAGCCCTAAACTCTGCTCCGTCCTGTGCCAATCACACTGTCTCTGAC